CGCTGGGCTGCGAGCGGGAGCGCGGGCAGTGCGCGGCCTTGGGCCCGGGCTGGTTTGCAGCCTGTCGCCGAAGCACCTGAGCTGTACGAGCTGGGTCTCTCTGCAAGCCCGGAACGCATGTCCGCTGGGTAAATAAAGCAGCGGTTTACGGCAGTGCAGAACTACAGCCTAGTCCGTCAGGTGCTTCTGTCTGATCAGAAAGAACAGTCCCACCTGGGTGTGTATGGCACATACGGCAATCGGAGGGTCGGTGTCACTCGAGGAAGAGGCTTAAGCCTTGCTTCAAGTCCAGTGTGTAAGAGTATACGCGTTGGGGCTCGGATTGGAAAAAGGACGTGTGTTTTTTTTTTTTTTTAATGTTGTAACGTGCTTTGCGTGGGTAGATGATGAGTAGCGTGTATGAGTTGCAAGCATCTCTGCAGCTATCGTGTTTTTCTTTGTGCAGCCAAAATGAAGTTCAATCCGTTTGTGACCTCAGACCGCAGCAAGAACCGCAAACGACACTTTAATGCACCTTCTCACATTCGAAGGAAAATCATGTCCTCCCCGCTCTCCAAGGAGCTGCGGCAGAAATACAACGTCCGCTCTATGCCCATTCGAAAGGATGATGAAGTTCAGGTATCTGTTCTTATCTGTCTTTTTAAGTTGTGCTGTTACATTTGAGCTTTTGTTTATATTTTGTTTTTTTTTCATGTGTAGCCTGTACAGAAGAGAAGGGCTACACAAATTCAGAACGATGGCAGAGCTTTAGCAGGAGTCTTGCCGAAATTGTACAAGTTAACGTAGTCGTAAAGTTGGCCTGTTGAATGTTGGCTGAGATCACATGAGTGGGAAGGAAAATACAAGAAACAGAAATATGCCAGCACCAGAAGTACTTAATTGCATCCTTTGATTGTCCGGCTGGATTAAAGGCTTTCAGCAGAACAACACAAACCAAAGAATTGTTTCTTTTATTGTTTTATAGACGTAGAGTAGCTTGCTACCTGTGATGTGTGAAAAGATCAGCTTTGAAATAAACTCAAGCTTAGCAGCTTTTTCAATTTGAAATGTCACGATAGATGATATACTAGGACGCAGAACTGTTGAGATTGACTATTTTCCTCTGGGTTAGAAAGATTTGCTATTACTTGCAGACAAAATGAGGAGAAAGTCCAGTTCTCTTCCATAGTATTTTCCCCTTTAGTGATTACTGAAATTGTCCAGTAATTGATGTTTTTGTGACATGTATGTACAAAGAATAGAGTTGGGATTTCAGCCTGTGTAGGTGTAGTTTTCTGTTGGGGTAATTACAGTGTTTCTTAAGGTCTGTAACTGACTTAAGGAATGTTATTGGCAGTGTGGGAAACAGTGTGCGTTTTATGCTCTTGTTTAGGTTGTCCGGGGGCATTACAAGGGACAGCAGATCGGCAAGGTGGTCCAGGTGTACAGAAAAAAATATGTCATCTATATTGAACGTGTTCAGCGTGAGAAGGCTAATGGCACAACTGTCCATGTGGGAATCCATCCCAGCAAGGTACCCTGTATAAAATGAGATCTGAAACGTATAAGGAGACCTTGTTATTCAGAAAAAAAGACACTGCCGCTTCCTGAAATTGAGCCTTGTTACAGCACGTGGAATAACAGATGGAGCTACTACAGCATTGTTGGGGGATGTTAATATAACAAGGGTTATGGTGTCGTGATAGCAAAGAAGTGACAGTTGAAACCAGAACTCTGATGTTTTTAAGGATTGTCTGGTAGAGAAACTGCTAGAGACTGAACTTTAGGGCCTTGCTAAAATCCTCTTTGGGAGAGCTTGGTGTTTTTAAAACACAGACATCTTGCCCTTTTTATTATTGTTGTTGTTGTTTTGAGAATAGGTGGTTCAAAACAATCCTACGTCCTTGCTACGTGGCGTTTTTACTGATTAAAGAGGTGTTTGAAACATTTAAATAGATGTTCAGGAACTTGATGTTATTGTGGATTATGAAACTTTGACTGAATCTGGTTTTAGCCTGAAGTGATTTGCAGTGTTTAGTGAAAACCAGGCAGAGGCTGTTTGGATAATAGGAAAATATTTCAGACTAAACAGAACAACTAGCCAAAAACCCAGTTTGAAGCAGATGAAATTAGTCTGCTTCAGCCATGCAGATAGGCATGTATACTGAAGAGCTGCTGGAAGAAATCGAGTTTCAACAGGTTTTCTGATATAAACGGTTGATGTGTACTGTAGAGGGAGAGCAGAATTATTCCAAAACAACATAATGATTTGTGTCCAGTAATAACATTTGAGGTGCAGGGTGACATTGTGATGGACGTTGCACGGAAGATCAGATACAACTTACCTGGTAAATAGCAGTGGAAGAAACTGAGATTCATGCTGGTCCTTCCTGTCTGAGAAAGTTCTTTCTAGCTGGAAGGCATAGCTTGAGAAAGCTTTGCAGGAAGATTCGAGCTATTAATGCACACACAAAAAAGAGGCATGTATAGTTTGTTGTCATGTATATTTTATACACAAATGTACATAAACAAAAAATGTGTAGTCTGTAGTGGGATAGGTTAACAGTTTCTGCCTCTCTTAGGTAAAGAGGTAGGAATTAATTGTGATTTCCTGAGTCTTGAAAGCCAGAAAGAGCAAAATGCGACTGAGCAGGATTATACAGCCCTACTGTAGCCTATATGGATTTTCTAGGATTTGATATCAGTTGTATTTTACAAATACTCCTTACAGTAATACCAAAGCACTGAACTCCTTTGTCAATTATGGGGGCATGAAGAGAACAGAAGGCTGAACATTGGAGCTTTGGTTTGCTGCTGTCTTGTTAGGAAATAACCTTTAGGCTCTGGAAGCAACTGGTTTAGGCAAATTATCATTTAGGTACCCATGTCAGTAATTGCCTGGCCGCTTTTTGTTCAGTAGCAGATGTGTTCTTGAAAGTATCTTTATATGGGTCAGCAGGACGCTTGCAGTTTTGCTGTGTGTGGTCCATAGTTTAGCCGGATGTTTTGGCTATTCCAAATGGTATAGCAATGATACGTTAGTGGCCAGCAGCGGTATGGTTTTCCAGTGTTTGAAATTTAGGTAACATTGTTTAAAACATGGAAAAATTAAAACAGTGGTCTGTTACTTGACTTTGTTGTGGTGAGAACAAGACTTAAGCTATACGCTATGTTTTAGGTGGAAGTAGTATGCTTCATGTTTGAGCAGAGCCTCGTATAACGGAAAATAGATTATTTACTTCAAAGTAATTATTTTATTCAGTAGCTGTATGGCAAACTGGCTGCTCTTCAGTTTGTCCAAATGTTGTTGCGGTGCGTCTAAGCACCTGTCTGTATGTTCTGGTCTCGAATGTACCTGTAGACGTTTGTATAGCTCAGCGTTATGAAATGTGTAGGCAGTTCAGTACCTCAGTTGTACTAAAATCCTATTAAGATAGTCTCTGGAAATAAAACTTGGATGTTTTTGGCAGTCTGTGTCAGAGGGTGACCTTTGTAGGCCACTTTATGTCATCACAGTTGTTTCAGGTTGTTGTACTGTAACACTCTAAGACTTAAATTCTTTGTCCTTTCTCTAGGTGGTGATCACTAGGCTAAAACTGGACAAAGATCGCAAAAAGATCTTGGAGCGTAAAGCAAAATCTCGCCAGGTTGGCAAGGAGAAGGGCAAATACAAGGAAGAAACGATTGAAAAGATGCAAGAATAGATGGTCTCCTGTTTGATACCATTAAAGAACTGCTAAAATTAAACGTTGTTGCGTCTTCTCCTTTAGAACGTCTTGATACAGTATGTCTGGTTAGTGTTTAAATGTTCATTTTCATGTTTTGATGCTGGCTAAGTCAAAAATATTTCCACTAAATTAAAAAGCTTCTTAATTTTTTTTCTAACTTTAAGGAAATTAAAAAGTTGTTTCCCCAAAACAGTGTGTTTACAGCCGAAGTTGTAAACTTTGAGAGGGTGCTGCAATCCTGAGAAGATGCGTCTGATGGCAAGTGTGTTTCTGTCTTTTCCAGTAATCCTTAACTAACACTTCCTTAGAAGTGCCCCTGTTTAAATGAAAATGTTTAACTCAATGTACTGTACATACTTAATAGATTATCAGGCCTTTGAAATAAGGTGGAGAATCTTTGTTTTGGAATAAATTATGTTTTTTCACATATCTAATGAACGTGTAAGTAAAAGATGATACTTCAGAGGTTCACGAAGCATTTTGGGTCCAAGCACACGTCCATTAAATTTGCTGTGTAGTGCCTGAGCCCTTCACGTTAATGCTAGAAGTCGAGGAAAATAGGGCTTCCTTCACCCAGGCTTTTGGAGTAGTTGTCTGTTTCTGATGAGGGTAGGAGTGAAGGGAGTCTCAGTTCTGCTGTTAACCCTGTTTTGGATGAGCTTTTGTGTAAGCAATGTATACGTGTAATTGAAAGCTGCCTCAGCATGTTGAAAACGGGCCTGGAGATGAGTGAATTTAGTGGCTTAGTGAATGGCTTGCCCAGCTCCTGGCTGAGAAAACAGTGCAGTCTAAAAGGTGAGATGCCAAGAATCAGGGAAAATTACATTTGAACTTGTGAAGTCATAAACTATAGGTATTCCTAGGACAGCTGCTTTATAACGCTGGGTTCGAATGTGGTTTCCTTTATGTGTGTCCAGAGCTCTTACCCTCTCAGTTCATGCGTGCACACATGCTGCTGGATGAGGGTTTTCTTTTGCCTGAGTTGAGCCGATGTGCTGAGAAAGTCACGGGGGTTCACTCAGTTATTCCCCAAAGACGTTGTCAGTCTTTGAGCAAATACGTTGCATGAGTCTTAAATAGTCTCCCCTTCAGGCGTCTTCTAGATGTTTCCAGATTTTTCCTAAGCTTAAAACCAGCCTTAGAGCTACAAGTGTATTACCCCCCCCCCCAACCCCAGAAAACTTGTTTC